TCTCCACAAAGCCCCCTTCTGATAATTCATATTAAACCATTTTTCAAATATCAATAAAACAGTGAAAATATTGATGATGCAATGAGAAGACGAAGTTTATCAGAATTCTGTTATATATTTGAGCAACATATATTCCGAACAATCTGATCACACACAGTATACTTGTTAAGAACATTTATATATGGAAATTAAAAGGACAGCAAGAAAGGTTAAGGTAAGCCGTAACAAAGAAACAAAATAAATAAAGTACACAAAAACAATGTGATAATCACTCTGGATAATAAATCAGCATTACCAGGGTAAGTTAAGGGTAAGAACATAGAGGCGATCTTACTTTCCGTATAGCCAAGGCTTCAATAAACTTTAGTATACGTCCTTAAAGGCTTTTGTACAACACTACAAATACTGACTTGATATCAACCTTATGACCAGTTTCAACCAAATGTTTCACAATGGAAGAAGACATCTGTCTATCCTGTGATCTTATTTATATGATCAGATTATTCAAAATGTATTACGCGAATATATAATATAATTCTGATAAACTTCATCTTCCCAATAACAATATCGAAATCAGTCAAGTTACTTAAGAGTAAATGTGGTTGTTATGATGTTCTTTTTGGATGGAGTTTTATTCCTCTGATGATGTCGTTCACAAGGACGATGAAAGCTTCACAACCAAACCATCCAGCTCAGAGAACAAAATTCCATCAAAATTATCCACCAGAGCTACAATTCTTCTCCACCATCTTAAATGTTATGATGCATGTTTGTGCATTTTGTAAAACACCATTTTTTTTTGGTTTTTTTTCTACCTAAATACATCAAATTTTCAAATATCAATAAAAATGTGAAAATATTGAATTACTTCATGTATATTTTGCACAATCCAATATTGTACAAATTGAATCCATTTTTTTTTGGTATTGCCTAGTTATTATATATTTTCAATTGAATAACTATTGTTCATGGATAGTAAACGGCTTCGAATGAAAAAACAAAACAAGAAACTACTTGTGTTTTTATAGTAGTAGTTATATATATGAAAGTCATAGGAATAAAATATACCATATATTTTAATTACTAAAAAATCACCACAAACAACCCCCTTATCATATGCTCACTCATGATTGACTTCGAGAGAAAAATCCAGGAGTTCTCGTGAGAAGCAGTAATTAGTGGAGTTCAACCGGTTCTGTTGTGTGAAATAGTACATCACTGAAGAAATTGGTGAAATGCTTGCTCAACTTCGTGGATTGATTGCAATTAGACATTAACACCATTGGATGCCGGCTCAGTGGTCTATCGGTTAGGTGCTCGCGTGCTAGACTGATAGGTCCTCGGTTGGAATCTTGCTAGACAGGATCGTGGATACGCACTGCTGAGGAGCTGTATAGAAGGACAAAATGGCCATCCAGTGCTTCCAGGTTTTCCATGGTGGTCTAGCTTCAATAGACTCATGATTTCAATATATATATATATATATATATATATATATATATATATATACGCCTGTTACTCCCAATGGAGTATAGGCCGCCGACCAGCTTTCTCCAGCCCACTCTGTCCTGGGCCTTCTTTTCTAGTTCTATCCAGTTCTTGTTCATTCTTCTCATGTCTATCTCTATTTCTCGGCGTAATGTGTTCTTTGGTCTTCCTCTTCTCCTTTGACCTTCAGGATTCCATGTGAGGGCTTGTCTTGTGACGCAATTAGCTGATTTCCTCAAGGTGTGCCCAATCCACTTCCAGCGCTTCTTCCTGATTTCTTCCTCCACTGGATGGAATCTGGTTTGTTGTCTCCCACAGTAAATTGTTGCTGATAGTGTCTGACCATCGGATCCGAAGTATCTTGCGTAGACAGCTGTTAATAAACACATGTATCTTTTGGATAATGGCTTTCGTAGTTCTCCACGTCTCCGCCACATACAGTAGAACTGTCTTCACATTTGTATTGAAAATTCTAACCTTGGTGTTGATTGACAATTGTTTTGAGTTCCAGATGTTCTTCAGTTGTAAATATACTGCTCTTGCTTTGCCGATCCGCGTTTTTATATCTACATCACATCCACCGTGTTCATCAATGATGCTGCCCAGATATGTAAAGGTCTCCACATTCTACAAAGCTCCTTCGTCACACACACATATATAAATATATATATATATATATATATATTCTTTACAATTGAATGGTAACCAATGTTATGCTTTAAATAAACAATATATTTCTAAAATCCCAATGAGTAGAAATATTAGATTGGATTGGTACTGTAGTTTTACCATACCGTCATGTCACAACTGAAGAACTTCAAAGGATCTTAAAACAACACAGAATTAAAGTATATTACAAAACAACGAATACACTTCGAAATACTTTAGTTAGATTCAAAGAAAAAATCCCATTCATGTCTACACAGAACTGTGTCTACAAATTAGGTTGTGTCGATTGTGATGCCTTCTATATTGGAGAGTCATCTGGCGAAATCTTGACTCGTGACAAAGTATATATTAGGTACACAAAGAAACCACCTAATAATCTTGTAGAACTGGATAGACTTCAAATTAAATCGGCAATAGTAGTTCACGCCATTTTCAACAATCATCAAATTGATTTCAAAAATATCAAAATATTACAAAAAGGTTTTTCGAAATACAAAGTAAGGAGAGTAACTGAAGCGTTTCATATAATGCTTAATCCTACTGCTCTCAATAGAAAAGAAGGCTTCATCATACATCCTACTTGAACCATCTAATCCTAGTCGCCTAGTCTGATATTATTATTCACATTTCACACTATTATCTTACTTACAAATTAAACTCAACTCTTCTCACCTTGAAGATCACACATCTTTTCATCCTTAACCGTGAACACGTACACACAAATTTACATACATGTCGCTTATGAATCACCTTGACCGAAGTGATATGATATTGATTTGTTCAGAACTGCTTTTTGATTGATCTCACATAGTATTATTGTGTTGTTCCGTTGTACTATTTAAACTTTAATTAATTTTGGTCTGGTTATTTATTCCGTGAAGAAGTGGCTTACGCTGAGTCACGAAACGTCATAAAATCTCATTTTTCTACTCATTGGGATATTACAAATATATTACTATTTATTTATAACAATCTACCCAATGCTCAATTTATTCAAAATTATCAAATCAAGACTTGGTAATGATATCTACAATGTTATGTTTGTCTGATCATAACGGCGGCCTGTTTAAACATATGGGCTACCTGTTCCTGTCATCTAGATATTTCAACAACTTATCTAATTTTGTTTGTTTTAATACATCGTTATGCTTATTAATCGTACAACCTATTCAGGTGCGTTTCTGAAAAGTGTAAGACCTTTCGCTGTAAAGTTTATAAAAGGCCTAATCAGAGATATCGTGGTTGCTGGCAATATGCAGCGAGAAGAATGTACATTATCCAAATGTCGATTGACTTGGCTGCTAACTTCTAACTGGTAATCACTCAATATTTATCGTCAATATCGATGAAGAAACAAGAAAAGCAAGCTTGTTGAAATACTTTGTTCTGAAAGTTCTATATTGTACCAAAAATATAATATTGAATAAAGCTAATAATAATAATCTTCAGCCCTAATCGAATTCTGTCAAACAAGTTGTAACGTGATCACTAATTACAGTAACTTGAACTTGTGTGTACTGTTTCCATATGTTAAGTGATTGCAGATAGTCGACAGGAAACCTTGAACCTAGATCTTTGTGGTAGCCAGCCAGCACTCGTCAGGAAGGAGTACATGTAATTTTGCATAAAGTGATGTTTCCTAAAGGATTAAAATCTTCAGTGCATAGCACAGCTTGAGATGCGGTATTTCTGTTGGTCATTGACCTTCTACATCCAGTGGTGTTAATGTCTATCTCCAACCGATCCACGAAGTTGAGCAACCGTTCACCATTGTCTTCAGTGAAATGGTATCTCACAACAGAGGTATTAAGGAGGAAACTGTGCAAGTCAGTTAACAACACTTGGCAACAAAACATAAATACTGTACTTTATGTTTTCTAACAATAACGTCCAACCATCTTACACTTCAGCTGTAAACTTTTACATGAACTCCGACTAACAATCATAGAAAACACAATTTACCTTGGAAAATAATGAATACTTTAAATTTACTTAGTATTGTATGTTTGAATCTTCGCATTGATGTTTTTAGAACTGCAACTGGTCAGTCTCTAATTGGCATATGTTCATACTACTGCGCATATTGCCTCGATATAGCCTAAATTCACAAACATAGTAAACAAAGATGGCGATGGCGTTTGAAGCGAAAGGTACTGGATTCGAGTCCCAGAGTGAACATCAACTCTAAAATTCAGGTACATTCAGCTGACTAGTCCCAAATAGAATGAAACGTGAGTCAAACTGGATTCCACTGCTAGTCACTATCCATCTTTGCTTACAATGAATACTTTAATTTATCAATACTGTAATGACAAATGAACAAAATAATTCATAGTACAATCTTATTAAATAATCAAAGTTCTATTAAAAGAACCAAAATGTTTATCTATTATAGATTGTTTGAATTGATAACATTAGAAAAATTCATTACCACTGTCAATATCCATCCATCCAACCCTATCCAACCCTAAAAAACATATCTATGCATCACTTGTTCACATATCGTAAGTCTCCAATCAGTTCTGATTTATTTATAGTCATAAACACGTAGATACAAACTAAGTTTAAATAATAATAATAATAATATATTCTGAAAATAATATTTACAGAATTCACACTAGTTTACAGGCATGATCAGTTTGATATAAATAGCAACATTTAATGTAGAGAACAAACATGGGACACAGGAAATTGTTTTATGTTTTCTGGTTCAGTAATTGTTAAGTAGTTTATATATGGCATATATCACGGCATTACCAGGGAACTTTTAATTTTGTCTTAAGTGGATAGCCAGATGATTTATAAACGTTGTTCTTTAAGGTTATTTCCAATGCCAGAATGAGTTATTGATAATTATCTAAAACTAGAGAAAGTAAGATTAAAGCAAAGAGCATGGAATAACAAAACAATGATAGCAAGTAAGAGGTTAAACATTTAAAGTTCCGATAATCTCACTTGTGGAGTAAGATACACTTACAGGCGCTACAGCATTTAATGCGTTTTCAGAAGATCAATATTTGACAGATATGATTATGTAGTAACCTGTTTAAGCTTGTTTATAATCGTTATTGATAATTTATTATGTGATTTTAATAGTTGAATTTATGAGTCAATGTAAACTAGGTTTCAAAATAGATTTTCTGAAGTTCTAATAAGAAGCCGTAACCAATGGAGTCCAATCCATGTCGGATGTACTGCAATTATTCACCTCAAACAATGGATTAATGATTGTAAAAGATCATGTATTAATTGAAGTTAGACATTAACACACTTGGATACCAGATCAGTGGTCTAAAGGTCAAGCGTTCGTGCGAGAGACCTAAGTTCCTAGGTTAGAGTCTTGTGTGTAGATGCGCACTGTTGAGGAGTTCCATACTAGGAGGAAACCCCAGTCCAGTACCTCGAGTTTCTCAATAGTAGTATAGCTTAAATTGACTCATGAATTCAACTATTAAAATTACTATAATCTTCACAAACCCTTATTCTGATTATTTCAATATGTATCAAGTAACTTGTCTAAATTATTTATTCACTTCTTAAGAAGAAATAACTTTCTCAAGATTTTAGAAAATGTAAAAACTTGTTTTTTTTAAGCAAAGATGGATAGTGGTTAGCAGTGGAATTCAATTTGACGCGCGTTTCGTCCTATTTGGGACTGGTCAGCTGGATGTACCTGCATCTCAGAGTTGATGATCGCTCTGGGATTCGAACTCAGTAACTTCAGCTTCAAACGCCATTGCGTTATCCACTCAGCTACTGAATCCTGATAGCCACTTGCTTGTGCAGTGGGGTGAAGTTGGAATTCACTTAGTATTGTTTGTTTGAATCTTCCTATTGATGTTTAGGATTGCAACTGGTCAGTCTCTTATTGGCATATGTGCATACTGTGCGTATTGACTAGATATAGCCTTAATTCACAAGCATGGTAAGCAAAGATGGATAGTGGCTAGAAGTGGAATTCAGTTTGACACGCGTTTCGTCCTATTTGGGACTTGTCAGCTTTGCTTATAATGCTTGTGAGACAATACGCACAGTAGTATGCACATATGCCAATTAGAGACCGACCAGTTGCAGTCCTAATAACATCAATGAGAAGATTCAAACAAACAATACTAAGTGTCTTTTTTCTACTCATCAAAATATTCTATGAATATTACATTTTTGTCATACAATTATTTATTACATTCTTTTATTGAGTGTTTGAATGTACGTTATTGACCTACTCTTTACTAGACAGTTCGAAAAGATTAACACAAGGGTAACAATAACAAGTGAATTTAATACAATTTTGTGTTAGCATTAACCCCCCCCACACACACACCTTTAAAATCAAACTCTTAATACAACCCACCCCCCCACCCCAATTATTAAGCAGATAAAACCTAACCTGTAACCTTGTAGAATAGATTTTATGAAAAACTTTATCATTCTATACATAAATTTTCTTATCAGTAATTATTAATTTTATGTTGAATGAATGTAAAATCTAAGTGAAAATACATTTTTTCGAAAACTATTTTTTGAAAAAATTAGAATAGATCAGAGGGGGGTTCTGTGGAGAATTTAGTATTTTCACAGTTGAAATCATGAGTCATTTGAAGCTAGACCATCATGGAAAACCTTGTAGCACTGGACGGTCGTTTCGTTTATTCCATAGTGGCCTAGCTTCAATTGACTCATGATTTCAACTATGAAAATACTAAATTCTCCACAAAACCCCCCTCTGATCTATAATCATATGCTCACTAGTGACTGACTTCAAGAGATATTTCCTTGAGTTCTAGTGGGAAGCAGTGGCCAGTGGAGTTCAACCACGTCTGTTGTAGAGATATCAGCTCACCGAAGACAATTGGTGAACGGTTGCTCAAAATCGTGGATTGGTTGAAGTTACACATTAACACCGTTGGATTCCGGCCGGCTCAGTGGTCTATCGGTTAAGTGCTCTGGCGCGAGACTGGTAGGTCCTGGGTTCGAATCTCGCGAATGCGGGATCGTGGATGCGCACTGATGAGGAATCCCATAATAGGAGGAAATGGCCGTTCAGTGCTTCCAGGTTTTCGATGGTGATCTAGCTTCAATTGACTCATGATTTCAACTGTGAAAATTAGAATAAGCGAAGATAGATAGTGGCTAGTAGTGGAATCCACGACTAACGTTTTGTCCTATTTCGGACTAATCAACTGGATGTATTTACATCTCAGAGTTGATGTTCACTCTTGGATTCGAACCCAGTACAAGTAGACAATGTATGTCTTATCAACCTCCACCGCCTTTCCCTAATTTCATTCTCAGCTCAAAGATAGTTTGTTCTCTTCCACAGAAAGCTATTGCTGATGATATCTGGCCAACGGATATTGAGCATCTTGCGTATTCGTAATATAATATACGTAATAATATTATGTAATATACTTCTGAGAATATTTTGATCGACCTAACGGATAATTTTTGGCAAACAATCCTATCTCAAAGGTTATCGGCATGAAATGAATTCGAAAGTACCTTAAAAGGTTTCCAACGCATAAGAAAAACATAATTCTGGTAGATGGAAGAGATAATATGTACTCATTACATCTATCTACAAAGGAATGAAATTCCTATTCAGCGTTGTAAATACTTTTTAATACTAATCGAAACATTTTAAATGATGGCGGAAAACTAATTTTTCCAAACATATAGTAAAAGCGATGGTGTTAAATAGAAAAATAGCCTTAGTGATTTCTCTTTGAATAATATATAATAGGTAAATTAACACCATCTTTAAATCCTATCGGACTACAGTGCAAAGTCGTGCATGGAGGACAGCTGTTAGATGCATTTCCAGTAAGGACTGGAGTCAGACAAGACTGTCTACTCTCCCTCTTTCTTCTGGTGATTGACTGGATTATGAACATTTCGACAACTGAGGGGGGACACGGAATACAATGGACATCCCAGAACCAATTAGATGATTTGGACTTCGCAGATGACTTAGCCCTCCTCTCTCATACACACGACCAAATGCAGATGAAGACAGCAAATGTAGCAGTAGCCTCTGAATCAATAGTCCTCAACATACACAAAAGAGAAAGCAAGATTCTCAAATACAACACGGAGAACACCAACCCAATCACACTTGATGGTGAAACTCTAGAGGAGGTGGAAACATTCACGTACATGGGAGGCATCATCGATAAACAAGGAGGATCGGATGCAGATGTAAACGCGACGATTGGCAAAGCAAGGGCAGCATTTCTACAATTGAAGAACATATGGAACTCAAAACAACTCTCAACTAATTTCAAAGTGAGAATCTCCAATACGAACGCCAAGACAGTCCTACTGTATGGAGCTGAAACGTGGAGAACTACTACGGCCATCATCAGGAAGGTACAAGTATTTATAAACAGTTGTCTACGCAAAATACTCAACATCCACTGGCCGGATACTATCAGCAACAGCGTTTTATGGGAGAGGACAAACCAGTTTCCAGCTGAAGAGGAAATTAGGAAAAGACGTTGAAAGTGGATAGGATATACATTACGGAAATCATCAAACTGCATCAAGAGGCAAGCGCTAACTTGGAGTACGGAAGGGAAGCGGAAAAGAGGAAGGCCAAAGAACTCACGACGCCAGGAAATAGAAGCAGATATGAAAACGATGAATAGCAACTGGAAAGAATTACCCAGGACAGAGTTGGATGGAGAATGCTGGTGTGTGGCCTATGCTCCTCCACGAGGGGTAACAGGCGTAATTTAAATCTTATCCCTAAACTCTTAATCCTGAAAATAAAACTTAACCTAGTGGCATTGCATGTTATGCACTAAATAATTAGAAAGCGACTGTTGTTTTACAAAACGAAATTCATTTAACGATATGGCTGCAGAATATTTTTTACATTATAACTGATGTCGTCAATTCATTATGAAATTTCTAGCTATAAACTTCTGATTCTAACACTAAATACCTAACCCCAACTAGGAACAATATGGAATCTCTTAGAAATCTGTTTGAATCCTTCTAATGATTTAAGAAAACTAATAATCTGTGTCCATAATTAAGAACTGATGTTGTTTCTTCTACAATTATGTAAAATCAGTTCCATTATTCCAATAACGAAATTCATTTATAAAAGCTGTTCTCTGATTGACTGGAAACTAACTGAAATTTCATCACAGTTGTATTTAACTCGTTTCTATATGACAATTTTTTTCTATTCCATTGAAAAGAATTCAATTAACTAGGTAAATAGGTCGATCACTTTCAAAACAACCTTGAAAGACCTTAAGCAAACCTTCATTTTTATGAACTTCACCTGTGTAGCTCCTCTAGAGTTACTGCCGGTCTCAAGCGCGGGTAAAGCAGGAGGGTTGGGCATGGGGTTAGTGACCCCATCTCGTAGAAAACTAACTTGCTAAAAAACGCTAACGCCATCATTCTTATGAAATGTCTGAGATCAAGTGCGCAGGAAGTTTACTGTTGGACTGTAAAACATGTATATCACTGTTATAAGAGTTTATTCTGAGGTTTTGTCATAAGTAAAGTGATTGCAGTAAATTATTCTTGCGATACTACCACTTCTGTTACATATCTAGATCAGGAATGATTTGTATAGTTTTAAATCTGTAGAAAAAACGACTATATCTCATTCGACGAATCTGTCTCAAAAAATGAGAATTCACTTATGTAGGTTGTTTTAATATTTCAACTGATCATTTTCTTTTGGTATATGGGCATCCTATGCAGGTATATCTGGCTGACGAGTCCCCAAAAAGACAAAACTCACACCCTCGATTTCACTGCTGATCACCGTTCAAGTTTGCTTATAAAAAGAATGTTTAAACGAAGCTTCGTTAAGATGTGAACAATCATTTTTAAATAAGGTTG